ATTCGAACCCGGGTCTTCTGCAAGAACAGTTAGTGTTCTTAACTGCTGAGCTATCTCTCCAGCCCCAAGAAAGCACAGGGTTTTTTGTTGTTGTTTTTCGGGGGAGCTGGGTCTTTTTTTTTTTCCCTTTTTGAGACAGGGTCTCCTTGTAGCCTCAGCTGGCCTAGAACTTGCTATGTAGACCAGGCAGTCCTTGAACTCAGAGAGATCCACCTACTTCTGCCTCCCAAGTGCTGAGCTTGCTGCCGTGCCATCCTTCAATTCTTTTTAAGCTAATGGCTGTCATCTGTTTATGCCAAGTATCACGGGTTTCCCCCTCAAGGTGTGATGTGAAATTTACTAACATTATCTTACAGAAAGGACAGCACTTGGCCAGGTCACACAGATGCACAATTAACAGCACTATAGTCCCATGCCCTGGGCAGGCAGATGACCAGAACTAAATGAGCCAGTCAGCGACTTATACCAAAGTACACTGGAAGAAATGAACAGCAGCTGATGTCCAGCATGCAAGGGCTGGGTGGGTCTCCTTCAGTACCAGGGGAGGTCCTGTTAGGTAGGGCCCTGAGGCTGAGACCTGTCAGGGGTAGGGAACAGCATTCTCGGCAGAGGGAATGGCATATGCTAAGGCTCTGAGGTCAGGGAGAGATGGAAAAGTTTGGAGGACAGGAAGAAACCCAGTTTGGGCTAGAGCCAGGTAAGGGACAGAGAAAGTGGTCCCTGAGGATTCTGGAGACAAGGCTGTCGATAGTTTCCCTGTGGCTCTCATTCTTTTCGCTGAATGTTCGGCTCAGTGTGTTGTGTGTGTAGCCAAGGACCTGTTGCAGCCTTCCTCTACCCAAGGCCAGCTGAGGAGACTCCCAGGCCGAGGGTCTGTCTGTCCTCCAAGGCTCTGGAGGCTTGGCTTGTAGCATCAGAGAATCTGGCCTTTGGAATCTCACAGTCACTGAACAGGAAGCCCCGAAGCCAGCGATGGGGTTGGGGTGAAGTCATGGATCAGTCGTCTGATGTCCCCTTTTTATTTTTCATTACAGCCTTAACATATTCAGTAACACATTCCAGAGCAAGGATACATCTCTTTCAAAAGTGCCTGTACTCTTTTACACATGAATATTCAATTTTCCAACACCATTTATTGAAAATACTGTCCTTTTCCCAACGAATGTTCTTTGTACCCTTGATAAAAGTCAATTGGTTGTGGGCTGGAGAGATGGCTCAGAGGTTAAGAACATTGGCTGTTCTTGCAGAAGACCTGGGTTCAAATCCCAGAACCCATATGGCAGCTAACAACTGTCCATAACTTCAGTTCCAGGGGATCTTATGCCCACTTCTGGCCTCTGCAGGCATTGCAGGACATGGCTGCACTTATACACATGCAGCTCTCATACTCATACACACACACACACACACACACACACACACACACACACGTAAAAAATTAAAGAAAAAAGTTGGGAATGGCCCCAGCTTGGTCATCATAAACTGAGTCTTTTAGACCTATCTGAGGAGTATATCTTGTTGAGGCTGATATCTTCTGATACATAGTAAGTGTGTATTCTTGTTTACTATCAGAATAGTAAAGGAGTTTATGAATTACTGACTCTTTTGAGGACTGGTTTGACTCACTTAGTTTTGACAGAACTGATCACAGTGAAGGCAGAGGCAGGTGCCTTAAACTGGGTCATTTAGGGGCATCTGCTAATAACAGTCAAGCATTCTAGTTTATTTTCCCCTCTTTCTACCCTTGGGCGACTTTGTTGTGACTTTTTAATGTGACTTTGAGGCTCAAACCTAGAATACATGCACTCAGTACATCTGCTTCTGAGCTACACCCCACTCCAGTTTTGCCATCTTTTTTAAGTCCCCAGAGTTCCACTTTTTAATATTCATGTCATTTAAAAATCTGGGAATCTTCATGAGCTTTTATAGTGTTCTTTTTTTGTTTCACTAGTTTCCTGGCAGTATATAGTACAAGGCTGACCCTTTCTCATGAGCATGAGAAGGATCCTGTCAAAGCCCATCTATTTTTCATATAATTATATTATATTATATGTCATATAATTGATTTGTTTTGTTGTTGTTTTGAGACTCAGTCTTGCTTTGCTTAGGCTGGCCCTCAACTCCTAGACTCAAGCAGTCATCATGCCTCACTTTCCTGAGTAATTGGGACTTACAGGCACATACTGTTGTACCTGGCTTTGGTTTGGTTTTTTCACATAAAATTAAAGTGCCATTGGGCTAAGGATGTAGCTCAGTTGATAGAGTGCTTACCTAGTTATACACAAAGCCCTGTGTTTCATTCCCAGCACCACATAAACTAGGTGTAGTGGCTCATCCCTGTAATCCCAGTACTTGGGAAGTAGAATCAGGAGGATCACAGGTTCAGAGTTATCCTTGGCTGCATAGTGAGTTTGTGGCCAGCCTGGTATATATGACACTTTGTCTTTAAAAAAATAATACTAAATATATAAAGACTATTGGATTGAGAGAGAAGAGTTGGGCAGGTTGGGAAGTTGGGTGATACCCTATAACCTCAAGAACCTCCAAAAGTTGGCTGTAGATAACAAGTTGCAGAACTATCTTATCTTGTTGTTACATCAAAATAGGACAAGTGTTAGGAGCATTTAACCCATCACAGAGTTGCTCTCTGTAAGGTTAGGTGTGGTGTTTTGTTGCTGGTTTTGTATTTGGTGAGAATTCTGTATAAATATGATAGGCCAGCAAGGGAAGACTATAGTATGTTGGTAAAGAAGTAAGGAAGGAAATACTGCCAAAGAAATGCATAGTCCCTCTGTAGCCTTTGCAGATTACCTATCAGCTGTTTACACGGAGTATAAGATGCCTGAGGAATCACTGGCGACTCCGTGTGCTTTGGCATCATTGCCCTCTCAGTGCTTCCAAGTTGTGATCTTTTTGATTTACTCTTGCTCTTAAGTTTTTGTGCTTCCTCTGATTGCTGTGTGTTCAGCCCTTTAGTTACTTCCTTCTACTGTTCCTTTATGTCTTTCCACTCTACCTGATACTCATTGACAATATGAACCTTATAGCATTTTTATTTATGTGTTTGTGTGTGTGGCTGTGTCAATGTATATCACATCTGTGGGGGTGCCTAAGGAAGCCAGAAGAGGGCATCAGACCTCCTGGAGCTTGAGTTACAAGCTGTTGTGAGCTGCCTGACACAGGTGCTGGGAACCGAACTCGGAATTGCAGTAAGCCCTCTTAACCTCTGAGCCATCTCTCTAGTCCTTGAACCTTAGACTTGATAGTGCCTAGTGATCTATTTTCTTCTGGTTCTATTTGCTTACTTTTAATTTCATTGCTGTGATTTGTATATGTGGGAATACATTTAGATAGAAAAGGAGAAGAATTGAGTCTAAGAGAGGAATAGCAGAAAGGGGGGGTGTGTTAGTTACTTTCCTGTTGCTGTGATAAAGCTCTATACCCCACAGGGACCTATAGAAGAAAGAGTTTGTTTGGACTGGAACAGGAAGCTGAAAGATCACATCTCAACCACACATAGAAAGCACAGAACAAACTGGAAGTGGGGTGAGGGTATGAACT